GTTTAGGGAACACCTGGACACCGGGCGTCAACCGCGACTGTGAAGCGTTTAGGGAACATTTAGTTTGAGAAATTAACATTGTGAATGATTAACTGATGGTCATAATTATTGATTTTCGGTCCCTCGATGATGTAAAAGTTGGAGCAGGACACTGATGTGACTCTCGCCGCGAGGCGGAGCTCATCACTCTGGTAACCATGGGCGACGGCTGCATGCTGGAGAACTGCAAGGTGTCGCCGCAGACCGCTGATGTCACCTTCAGCACCTTAAGCCCCGCCTCCGGCCTGCGGCGCAAACGTCTGCTGTGGCAGAATGCTGTCAGGAACATCATCGACCAGCACAACCTGTACACGCTGAGGCTGGCCGGCGGCCTGGAGAGGGGGCGCCACTGCATCACGGTGACCGACGCCTACATCGCCGAGATCAACAAGTAAGCTGAATATTCAGCTGATGAGTGAAACTCAGGTTAACTTCATGTTAACTTCAGCCTTAAACTGCACTAACCACAGACAAACCTGACATTTAATAACTAAATGAGTTCATTTGGATTCATCTTAATCTGACTAATTAATCTGACTTAATCTGACTCTGGCGAGTTTTAAGTTACCCCTTGAGGCAACTTAATCCCAATGTGCTCGTCCACTTGATCTTTATTGTGGATCTTCTTGTACCTTGAACAGTTCTTCTGCTTTTGTCTTAAATTGTGTTACTAGCTTTTCCCTCTGCGTTGTCTTGCAGGCAGATTCGTAACAAAGCTTCTCGTGGAGCCTTTTGGCAGAAACGTCGTTCATCTGCAGCTCGAGTTCATCCGACGACACCGAAGATCTCCATGGCAACACGCAACAAGCACGACTCGCTGAGCGACGCCGACTTCTTTGTTTCCTGCGGCTCGACGGTGCGAGGCGTCTTCATTCCCACAATGCAACACACGTTCAAGTAAGAACGCATAACTGAGCAAACCTTGAAGAGAAGCTTTTCCTTTTCGTCAGGATCTGTGTATAAAAATGTTCTGTTTGTGTATTTCTTTGAATAAAAAGCCGTTTTTGTGTTGACTGGGAGGTTTTGGTCGAATCTCTTCCCAATGCAGGTCTGCGGACCTGGAGCAGCTCTACCAGCAGTTCTCCTCGGCTCAGAGAAGAACCTCGCTGGTCGTCACCAACACCATCGACCTGCTGATCCGGCTTCTGGTGTCGCTGCTGACGTGGCCGCCGGGCTGGGGGGGCGTGGCCTGCGACTGGTTGGCCGGCCTGTCGGCGCTGCTGTGGGCGGGGACCTGCGTGCTGGCGCTGACACGGAGGGAAGTGATGTCGTCGCCGCGGTGGCTGCGTTTCCTGGCGCTGATCAGCTGGCTGTCGCAGACCGCCCAGGTGCTGGTGGGTGTGTTCACCTGGGCGGACAGCGACCATTCCTGGTACGTCTTCTTCACGCTGTTCTCTACCTACACGCTCCTGCCGCTGCCACTCCTCTGGTCCATCATTGCCGGGGCAACCACCTCCACCCTGCATCTGCTGGTGGATGCCTGCTGTCGCTACGGCAACCACACCTTCATCAAAAAGGTGGGAGATGTTCTGTGTCGTCCCTTCATCACATCTTGGTCACACTGCAGCTCTGCTGAGGAGTTATTGTGGTTCTAGTGTTTCATGTTTGCTGGTTTTCTACAACGTCTGGATGGTCTTTGCCCTTGAATGGCAGTTTGTGGGAATCAGTTAAAAAATAAAGAATATCTAGAAAGGTATCAAAGTTGCAACACTAAAACTTTGTGGACAGTTTTTCCACAGTTCAGTGCTTCACATATCAAAAACTGATCACAATAGCGCCACCATGTGTTGAGATACCTGTACCTGTACCTGTGCAGGTGTTGTCGAAGGCCTTGCTGTACCTGGCCATGAACACTGCGGGTCTGTTCATTCACTACCTGTCCGATCGGACTCAGAGACAGGCTTTCCTGGAGACCAGACGCTGTATTGAGGGACGAGTCCGACTGGAGAGGGAGAACCACCGACAGGTAGGTCCTGTTTTAAAGGGCTCTTAACATGTCCTGCTGTCCTGGAAACTGACACCACCTGTCATGAGTATGATCCTCAAATCTGTCAATAACCTGAACGGATCCTCAGGAGCGTCTGGTGATGTCCATCCTTCCCCGCTTTCTGGTTCTGGAGATGATCGCCGACATGGCCATCATGGACGAATACCTGCTACCACAGCAGTTCCACAAGATCTACATCCACCACTACAAGGACGTCAGGTAAACAAACCTGCACAAAACCCACACCCCGGTTAACCCCAGCTAACCCTAACTAATCCATACCCCAACTACAACAAACTAACCCTAACTAACCCGTACCCCAGCTAACCCTAACTAACCTGAACTAACTCATACCCCAGCTAACCCTAACTAACCCTAACTAACTCATACCTCATCCAACCCCAACTAACCCTAACTAACCCATACCCCAGCTAACCCTAACTAACCTGAACTAACTCATACCCCATCTAACCCTAGCTAATCCATACCCCAACTAACCCCAACCCCAACTAGTCCTAACTAACCCGTGCCCAGCTATCCCCAATTAACCCATACCCAGCTAACCCAAACTAACCCATACCCCAGCTAACCCCAACTAACCCAAACTAATCCACACCCCAACTAATCCTAACTAACCCTAACTAACCCAAACCCCAACTAACCCTAATTAATCTGAACTAACCCTAACCCTAACATGGTGCAGCATCTCGCAGCTACAAAGGCCAATACCTTCCTCAGGAGCTGGTGGAGACCAAACACTAAGTTAAAAAAACATATATAATGAAATAATAATAAATTACTGCTGTGGAGATTCATCAAGTAGAAACAAATACATCTCTGAAAACTGAATAAATTCAGCCTTATCAAAATAGAACCAGAAAAGCCCTCTGAGAGCCAGACCTCCTTTAAGCAGCTCGTCTCCACCATGTTGTGATTTCCAGCGGATGTTAAAGTTCTGATTCATTGATCTTCACTGTTAGATTCATGGAGAATCAGAACATAGCTTTAGCATTGAGTTAGCATTGATATCATTAATAACCCGCTGACAGAGTGATGAACACTTGTTCTGGACTCTACAATATTTTGTACACTTACATAATTTCTGCAGTTCCTTTAAGCTGTTAGCTAACGTTATGCTAGGTTAGCATAACTACAGCGACGCTATTGCTAACGTAGACATACAGGGAGTAACTTAAGCTAGGTTAGCACAACTTTAGCAATGCAACGTAAATGAAAAGCATGACAGATGCAACGCATCACGCGTCAGTCGTCCGGACACATGGCAGAGAGTTAAAGTGAACCAGGAGACCTGCTGGGTCATTGTTAACGTCACAACGTGGTTCAGAACTTATCTGTCGGAGAAGCCAAGATGGGGCGGGGAGGAGCTCTGTACACAACATTAACGGTGCGTACAGAGCTCTTCCCCGCCCCCATCTTGGCCTCTCCGACCACATCTCCATACTGCTGGCACCAGCGTATTGCCCGCTGCTGAGACGGACCAGGCCAATGAAGAGAACCACTACTGTGTGGCCCGGGGACGCAGAACCTGTGCTCCAGGACTGTTTCCAGTGCACAGACTGGCAGGTCTCCAGAGAGGCAGCTACGTGTGAGGGAGAGGTGGACCTGGAGGAATACACCTCCTCTGCCCTCTGCTTCATCTCCAAATGCGCTGATGATGTCACCACCACCAGGACAGTGACCTGCTACCCGAACCAGAAGCCCTGGCTGAATGCTGAGGTGAGAGCTCTGCTGAAAGCTAGGGACGCTGCGTTCAGGGCGGGTGAGGCATCAGCACTCAGAGAGGCGAGGAAAGCGCTGAATGCAGGCATCAGGAGGGCCAAGGCCACATACGCCCAGAAAATCCAGGGTCACTTCACCACCGACGACCCCCGGTGCATGTGGCGGTGCATTACAGACTACAACACACCGGGGACGCACAATGCCCAAAGGACCCCTCTCTGCCAGATGCACTCAACAGGTTCTACGCCCGCTTTGAGGACCCAGACGCCCCCCCAGCACCAGACTTACACCACCACCTGGTGACACGCCCCTCAGTGTGACTGCAGCAGACGTGAGGAAGACCCTCCAGAGGCTCAACCCCCGGAAAGCTGCAGGGCCTGACAACATCCCAGGCTGGGAACTGAGGGACTGACCACCTGTCTGAGGTGCTGCCGGACATCTTCAACACGTCGCTGACTCTGGCGTCCATCCCCACCTGCTGAAAGACTGCCACCATTGTCCCGTCCCCAAGTGCTCCACAGGCTTGAATGACTACCGGCCTATAGCTCTAACCTGGTAGTCATGAAGTGCTTCGAGAGGCTGGTCATGACGCACATCAAGACTCCATCGACGCCACTGTGGACCCCCATCAACACGCCTACAAGAAGAACTGCTCCACTGATGACGCCATCTCACCAGTGGTCCACATAGTCCTAACCCACCTGGAGAGCAGAAACTCATACGTCCGGCTGCTCTTCCTGGACTTTTCCTCCGCCTTCAACACCATCATCCCACATGGACTGCACCAACTGCACTATTAAACACTTTTATCCATTTATGTGCAATATTTTAAACACCAAGTGCAATATTACAATCGAGCTCGCTGCTACACAAATGTTTCATGCTTATTTTTTACTTATATTCTGCTCTTGTTTTTATTGTTTATTGTACTTATTATTTATTGTACTTTTTCTTTAAAAACCGGGACCTGACTACTTATTTCGTACCACAACATGTGAATGTGAGCTGGCATAACAAATAAAGTTCCTTGAATGTTTCAGCAGCTCTGCTCAGCCCACTCCTGTGGTGCTGCCTGGCTGCAGCTTCCTCCTGCATCACTGAAGGACTGAATGGAGTCAGAGCTCCATCTAGTGGGCAAATGGCGCAACAACAGCATTCTCGGCCACCGTGACACTTCGCAGCATTTAGTGTTTTATGAGAAAATAACCAGATGGTAGCCAGAACATCACCAAAAGTTAATCGTCTGTTCATTGGGCCATTATCAACATTTCCTGAAGATTTCATGAAAATTCGTTCTTTTCAACTTTTCTGGTAATGTTGCTAACAAACAAACCAACAAACAACGAACCAACAAACAAACAAACCAACAGATAAACGCCGGCTAAAACGTAACCTCATTGGCAGAGGCAATAAAGAGACTGAGAATAGAACCCTGAGGAACTCCAGAGTTAATTATGAACACTGTTGCAAAGACTGTGGATGTTGTGTTTGGCAGCTGGTTGCTAATTCGTTAGCTACAAGTCAAGTCTATGTCGACTGTTTTAGAACACAGTGACTGAAAAACACAAAAGTTTCTCCTAAAAAATGAACTGATGATTGATGGAAAGCATTTGAGTTTAATAACCAAATCTTTTTTTCCAAATTTCTAAATTTTATCCCAAAGACGTATCGTTTCATGAAACTTTTTCCAATTTGGAAATGATGAAGCTTTAAACATGGTTTCCATATCCACATTTTGACTCTAGCTTCCGTCTCCACAGCATCCTGTTTGCAGACATCATCGGCTTCACGTCGCTCTCGTTGGTTCTTTCGGCGCAGGAGCTCGTTAAAACTCTGAATGAACTCTTCGGTCGCTTCGACAGGCTGGCTGAGGTCAGACAACTCCAAGTTCATCAATTGGTATTAGTTTTCTGGTTGTTTTAGGGAGCTGGGATCAGGGAGGTATTACCATTTCTTCCATTAGAGGTTTCAGTGAATTGTTTAGTTTTTTCTTCTTGTTTCAGCTTTTTTGTACTATTCTATTTTTAATTTTCAGGCTTTCATACGTTTTCGGACCTGGAAATATAATTATTTAATTATTAGACCTTGAAAGAAAAAGAGAAAGAAACAAACAAAAAAAAAACATATTTTTTAATATTTTTTTTGTTTTTTGTTTTTTTTTAAGATGGTGGTATTGTGTCCCTAGAACGTTCTTGTAGGCGTATCCATATTTCTACTAAAACAAAGACTTTGGTTGACATTTTGCTCACTCAGACTCCGTCTGACGAAGCTCCTGCTGAGGAGACAAAACAGATCAACAACAGAACCAAAGATGAGAAAGCATGTCCTGCTGAAGTTCAGGAGGATGACGTGTTTCTCTGTGGTTTGCAGGAGCACCAGTGTTTACGCATTAAGATCCTGGGTGACTGTTACTACTGTGTGTCGGGCGTCCCGGAGCCTCAGAGAGGACACGCTCGCTGCTGTGTGGAGATGGGCCTCAGCATGATCAGCACCATACGGTGAGCTCACTCATACAGGCTGCCACATGATGCCAAACTCCAGCCCAGTGTGGGAACAGCAGTCACTCATGCAGCCCCACATCATGATGCTGCCACCTCCGTGCTTCACTGTCAGGACCATGATCCACTGTGGTGGTCCTGGTCAGGTTCACACCAAACATCTGGACTCCATGTGAGCCCAACACATTGATCTCCATCTGACCAGAGGATGTTCTCCAGCATCCATCAGGCTTCTGTTCATGTTCTCTGGTGAACTTTGATGTGGAAGTTTAGCTGTGAGCAGCAGCCAGGTTTAGTTCTGCTCCTCCGTCCATAGAGGCTGATGTTCTGAAGTGTCCTTCACACTGTGTGAGCTTCACACTAACTCTGGTCTCCATTGATCAGCCCTGTGCCAAGTCTGAAGCAGCTGCCTCAGACTTTAACCATGTTCCTGCAGGTAGACTGACTGGAAGCCACAGTGTAGTTTCACTGATCACAGCTGGATCCACTCGGGTTCAGTGAGCTTCTACTTTGTGGTCTGTGTTTTGAGTTTCGTGCCCCGAGCAGCAACATGTCTGTGTTGTGTTGAAGGTATGTTCGTCGGGAACTGCAGCAGGAGGTGGACATGCGGATCGGCGTCCACTCGGGTTCAGTCCTTTGCGGCGTTTTGGGTCTTCAGAAGTGGCAGTTTGACATCTGGAGTTGGGACGTCGACGTTGCCAACAGTTTGGAGGCTGCAGGAGTTCCTGGGTCAGAAAAATCTTTTCTAATGTTTTATCATGTTCAGCTGAAACAACACACCTTTCTTTTAGGAGTTTAGAGGAGTTGAGATGTACCAAAGGCAGAAGATTGGCCCTACAAGTGTTTGTTGAATAAATTAGATATTAAAAAGTCCAATGCTTTGTGGACTTTCAGGCAGATTCACATCTCACAGGCCACTCTGGACTGTCTGGGCGGGATCTACGAGGCGGAGGCGGGGCACGGCCAGGACCGAAACGAGTTCCTACGGAAACATAATATCGACACCTACCTGATCCGTCCAGCGTCGCGGGAGGACACGGAGCCTCCAAAAGCGAGACGTCCGAGCTATGACGAGATGACGACGTGGAGCGCTGAGCTGCCGTTCGGAGACATTCTGGGCATGAACTTTGTGAGGATTCATTTCATTCTGAGGTTTCCAATTGGGCTTCAGTGATTTTTGACCTTTTCTTGTCTTGTTTCTGTGATTCAGATTCTCGCTACCTTCACCAATGGCTCCCTGACGCAGCTGCCCAATCAGATCGCAGCTCAGCGGTCGGGGTCACGAGAAGTCAACAAGCGTATTCGTCAGGCCATGGAGGTTCGAAGCAGCGAGCGAATGAGGAAGGAGCACATCACGACCTTCACTCAAGTGTTCAAGGACTCCCACATGGAGGGAAAGGTAACCTGGACTCCCTGTGGGGGCGGGGCTTGTCTCAGGTGAGACGGGCAGGTCAGTGACACCTCTCTGTCTCTCAGTACTCCCAGATGAGAGACGAACTCTTCAAGTCCAACATGGTTTGTTCCTTCATCCTGCTGCTGCTGCTGATGGCCGTCCAGGTGCTCATCCCCGCCCCCAGGTACACCTGTCTGCTCACCTGTCTGCCCACTCACCTGTGCCAACCCACCCTACCGTTCTTCTTTAAATGTAAAAACTTTCTTGATACAGCAGCTTTGTGCATTTGGCTGTTTATGCAGGTTTACCTGAATGCTTTAAGTTCCCAGGTGGAGGCTCCACAGCACGATGAGGGTTTATTGTTTCTCTTTGTTTTCTTTCTCATAACATCCACGTGAACGGACCACGTTCTGGCACAGAACCGCATGTTTCCAACGGGTTCTCATGTCTCTTCATTTCATTGGTCGTGTTTGAGCAAGTTCATGTAAATGTGAACTGACAGCTTTGTTCATGTTCCTCCAACCGTCCTGGTACCTTCTGCTCAGGTATCTTCCAATGGCGGCTCAGTTCGTGGTCAGTGGTGGCGTTTACTTCCTGCTGCTGCTGCTGACTCTGGGGGAGGAGTTTAAGCATTGCCCCGCCCCCCTACAGTCGCTTTGCTGCTGGATTCATGAAACTAAAAGCGCTCGAACGCTGCTGACGCTCACCGCCGTCACCGTCAACTTCGGCGTCGCCTCCGCCGACATCGTGAGTCGCATCACGTTCCAATCGTTTGTTTATTCAGCAGCCACGACTCAGAACGCCCAAGTACTGACTTCCTTCTTCCTTCCTGTTGTCCCTCCTTCCTT